TTTTTAAAAAATTTATTTATTTTAATTGGAGGATAATTACTTTATAATATTGTGATTTTTTTGCCATACATCAACATGAATCAGCCACAGGTGCACATGTGTCCCCCCCATCCTGAACCCCCATCCCATCCCCCTCCCCACTCCATCCCTCTGGGTTGTCCCAGAGCACTGACTTTGAGTACCCTGCTTCATGCATCTAACTTGCACTGGTCATCTATTTTACATACGGTAATATACATGTCTTAGTGCTGTTCTCAAATCATCCCACCCTCGCCTTCTCCCACATAGTCCAAAAGTCTGTTCTTTACATCTCTCTTTTGCTGTCTTGCATATAGAATCATCTTTACCATCTTTCTAAATTCCATATACATGTGTTAATATACTGTACTGATGTTTCTCTTTCTGACCTACTTTACTCTGTATAATGGGTCCAGTTTCATCCACCTCACTGGAACTGACTCAAATGCATTCTTTTTTATAGCTGAGTAATACTCTATTGTGTACATGTACCCCAACTTCCTTATCCATTCATCTGCCGACAGACATCTAGGTTACTTCCATGTCCTAGCTATTGTGAACAGTGCTGCAGTGAACATTGGGGTATGTGTATCTCTTTCGGTTCTGGTTTCTTCAGTGTGTATGCCCAGCAGTGGGATTGCTGGGTCGTATGGCAGTTCTATTTCCAATTTTTTTAAGGAATCTCTACACTGTTCTCCATAGTGGCTGTGAAAAGTGAAGTGAAAGTGAAAGTTTCTCAGTCATGTCCAACTGTGTGACCCCATGGACTGTACAGTGCATGGAATTCTCCAGGCCAGAATACTGGAGGGGTAATATCGGAGGTAATCCCCTTCTTCAGGGGATCTTCCCAACCCAGGGATCAAACCCAAGACTCCCACACTGCAGGAAGATTCTTACCAGCTGAGCCACAAGGGAAGCCCAAGAATACTGGAGTGGGTAGCCTATCCCTTCTCCAGTGGATCTTCCTGACCCAGGAATCGATCCAGGGTCTCCTGCATTGCAGGCAGATTCTTTACCAACTGAGCTGTCAGGGAAGCCCATACCAGCTTGCATTCCCACCAACAGTGTAAGAGGGTTCCCTTTTCTCCATATCCTCTCCAGCATTTATTGTTTGTAGACTTTTTGATGGCAGTCATGCTGACTGGTATGAGATGATGCCTCATTGTGGTCTTGATTTGCATTTCTCTAATAATGAGTAATGTTGAGCATCTTTTCATGTGTTTATTAGCCATCTGTATGTCTTGTTTGGGGGAAATATCTGTTTAGTTCTTTGGCCCACTTTTTGATTTGGTTGGTTCATTTTTCTGGTATTGAGCTGAATCACTCTCACCATTTTTATTCAACATAGTTTTGGAAGTTCTAACCACAGCAGTCAGAGAAGAAAAAGAAGTAAAGGTAATCCAGATTGGAAAAGAAGTTAAACTGTCACTCTTTGTGGAAGACATGATACTGTACATAGAATATGCTACGAGAAAACAACTAGAACTCATCAATGAATTTGGTAAAGTTACAGGTTACAAAATTAATACACAGAAATCTGTTGCATTTCTATACACTAACAATGAAAGAGCAGAAAGAGAAATTCAAGAAGAAATTCCATTTATCATTACATCAAAAAGAATAAAATATCTAAAAATAAGCCTACCTAAGGAGACAAAGGATGAGATGGTTGGATGGTATCACCAACTCAATGGACATGGATTTGGGTAGACTCCGGCAGTTGGTGATGGACAGGGAGGCCTGGCATGCTGTGGTTCATGGGGTCACAAAGAGTCAGACATGACTGAGTGACTGAACTGATGATGTTGAAGGAGACAAAAGACCTGTAGTCCAAAAACTAGAAGATGCTGATGAAATAAATAAAAAAAGACCTAAACAGATGGAAAGGTATACCATGTTTGTGGATTGAAAGAATCAATATTGTCAAAATGACTATGCTACCCAAGGGAATCAACACAGTCAATGCAATCGCTATCAAATTACCAATGGTATTTTTCACAGAAATAGAACAAAAAAGTCTCAAAATTTGTATGGAGACACAAAAGGCCACAAATATTCAAAGCAATCTTGAGAAAGAAAAACAGAGCCAGAGGAACCAGGCATCCTGACTTCAGACTATAATACAAAGCTACAGTCATTAAAACAGTGTGGTACTGGCACAAAAAAAGAAGTATAGATCAGTGGAACAGCATACCAAAAAACCAGAAATAAGCCTATGCACCTGTAGTTAATTAATCTGTAACAAAGGAGGCAAAACTACACAATGTCAGAAAGACAGTCTCTTCCACAAACGGTTCTAGGAAGACTGGAGAGCCACATGTAAAAAAAAAAAAAAAAAGAAATTAGATTATTCCTTAACTCTGTATACAAAAATAAGTCAAAATGGATTAAAGACCTAAATGTTGAACTGGTCATTTAAAATCTATTAGAGGAAAACACAGGCAGAATACTCTGACATAAATCACAGCAATATCTTTTTTAGTCCATCCCCCAGAATAATGGAAGTAAAAGAAAAAATAAGTGGGACCTACTTAAACTCGAAAGCTTTTGCATAACAAAGGAAACAATAAAATGAAAAGACAGCCCACAGATTGGGAGAAAATACATGCAAATGATGACTGATGAGGGATTAGTCTCCAAAGTTTATAAACAGCTTGTGACCCTTAATAGCATCAAAGCAAACAACCCACTCAAAAAATGGGCCAAAGACTTGAATAGACATTTCTCTAAAGAGTATATACAGATGGCCAATAGGCACATGAAAAGATATTCAGTATTGTTAGTTAGAGAAATGCAAATCAAAACTACAATGAGATATCACCTCACACTGGTCAAAATGGCTATCATCAAAAAATTCACAAATGCTGGAGAGCGTGTATAGAGAAGAGAACCCTCCTGCACTGTTGGTGGGAATGTTAATTGGTACACCCACTATGGAGAACAGTATGGAGGTTCCTTAAAATACTAAAAACAGAGCTACTATATGACCCTGCAATCTTATTCCTGAACACATGTCCAGAGAAAAACATGGCCCCAAAAGATACATGCACCCCATTGTTCTTTGCAGTACTGTTTACAATAGCCAGGACATGGAAACAACCTAAATATTCGTCGACAGAAGAATGGATAAAGAAGATGTGGTACATACATACAATGGAATATGACTCAGCCATTAAAAAGAATGAAATAAGGCCGTTTACAACAACATGGATGGACCTAGACAGTGTTGTACTAAGTAAATCAGACAGAAAAGAAGAAATACCATATGATATCCGTTATATCTAGAATCTAAAAAGTAATGATATAAATGAACTTACTTACCAAACAGAAAGAGACTCACAGATTAGAAATGAACTCATGGTTGCAGGAGGGGGAAATGATAGTTAAGGACTTTAGGAAGGTCATGTATACTCAGCTATATTTAAAATGGATAAGCAACAAAAACCTATTATATAGCACATGGAACTCTGCTCAATGTTATGTGCCAGCCTGGATGGGAAAGGGGTTTGGAGAAGAAATGTACTTAATCGCTCAGTCGTGTCCGACTCTTTGCAACCCCATGGACTGAAGCCCGCCAGGCTTCTCTGTCCATGGGGATTTTCCAGGCCAGAATATTGGAGTAGGTTGCCATGCCTTCCTCCAGGGGATCTTCCCAACCCAGGAATCAAACCCAGGTCTCCCGCATTGGAGACAGATTCTTTACCATCAGAGCCACCAGGGAAACCCAAGAATACTGGAGTGGGTAGCCTATCCCTTCTCCAGGGGATCTTCCTGACCCAGGAATTAAAACTGGTGTCTCCTGCATTACAGGTGGATTCTTTAGCAGCTGAGCTATGGATACATGTATATGTATGGCTAAGTCCCTTCATGTTCATCTAAAACTATCACAACATTGTTAGTCGGCTATACCCAATACAAAATGTTTCTGGTGTTAAAAAATAATAATAATAATGAAATTTTTTTTAAAAGTTAAAGGGAAAAAAAAAGAACTGGCAAATTTGTGCACACACATACAAAAAAAAGTCATCATAATCCCTCTGCTGAAATTTAAGAAGCACTTTAGCTTTATCAGATACATACTCATTATTGCTTTGGTATGTTAATTTTCTGAATAGATGGCTAGTGCTGGAATTCTCCAGGCAAGAGCACTGGAGTGGGTTGCCATTTCCTTCTCCAGGTTATCTTCCCAACTCAGGGATCGAACCCAGGTCTCCTGCATTACAGACAGATTCTTTACCAACTGAGCCACTAGGGAAGCCCCTCTCCATTTTATGCCAGTTTTTATTAGCTTGTTGATTTCACAGAGTGACATTTTCTAACTTTGAACTCTGTCTTTAAAAAGATAACATCTCTCTTATAGTCACTATTAAGGATCTGCAGGGTCCAAATCTAAAGGCATATTTTAAGGCATGAGATTATTTCATATAATTCCCAAGTGATTAATTCATTGCATGCCATAATAACATTTCACTGGTCACACTTTATTGGAAGAAAACGCTTTTGAATAAAATGAAAAGGGATAGGGAAAGGAGCAATAGAAGTCAGTCTAGATAAGGAACATCATTTGCAGGTATATCATTCTGTTGGTTATCTGATTTACAAGTGAAATAACTAAGGAACCAGAATGATAAATGTACAATTAGGACTACATTGAGATAGAATTTTATTTTTTCTATTTCTGTACAAAACCAAAACAGTCAACTCCATTAAAAATCAAGTTGTCCTTATTGCCTGGAATTGTGTGGTTATGGCACTTGCCTTCTTACTGAATTCCCTTGACCAGATGGTTCTTCCTGGTAGCTTGAGGTTAGTTGATGTTCTAAATAATGACCACGTCACAGTATTTAAGTGAAGCCAGAGATAGAATCCACAGGCCAGGCTGTATATTATGTGGCACTTGCTACTTTCCATGTGTTTCTCTTTGAAACATGAGACATTTTATGTTTGTTTACCTGGGGGTCTAAACATCTGTTTTCTTACAGAAGGATCATGTTCCAGCACTTTTGGGAATGGCAACAGCTCATATGATCTTGAAACAAACTCCCCGGGCCCGAAATCAGCTGAAGCGGATTGCAAAAATGAACTGGAATCCTATTGATGCTGAGGACTTTGAGAGGAGTTGGCTGCTGCTTGCCGATATTTATATTCAGTCAGCAAAATATGACATGGCCGAGGATCTGATAAAACGGTGCCTGCGGCATAACAGGGTAGGTGCTGAGCTGAGTCCTGTCCAACTCTGCTACCCCGTGGGCTGCAGCCCGCCAGGCTCCTCTGTCCATGGGGGTCTCCAGGCAAAAACACTGGAGTGGGCTACCATGCCCTCCTCCAAGGGATCTTCCCAACCCAGGGATCGAACCCAGGTGTCCTGCACTGCAGGCGGACTCTTTACCATCTGAGCCACCAGGGAAGCCCAAGAATACTGGAGTGGGCAGCCTGTCCCTTCTCCAGGGGATCTTCCCAACCCAGGAATCGAACTGGAGTCTCCTGCATTGCAGGCAAATTTTTTACCAGCTGAGCTACCAGGGAAGCCCACGGGGTAGGAGGCTGAGGAGGAAAGAATGATTGTTAGCCTTGGTTGTATAAACATTCTGTAATAGGCTTTAGAGAGTATTGGTCCATTTCTAGGGATTTCTCTGTGTTTTGGGAAAATTAAATGTTTATTTCTACCACAATCAGGATATAAACATTAATAATAAAAATGCTATTTGCCCTTGAAAATAAAATAAAGATGTATGCAGTTTCAAGTTTCAGCTGTGGTTTGCCCTACTTACCAAAAGTGTTTTGGAATGTCAAGCATTTGCCTGTGATTATCCATCTCATCCCAGAACTAATGAAAATTGCAGAAGAACATTAATTGCGGACGTCTGTCCCTCCTATTAAATACTCCTGATGAATTTACTGCAGCTGCATGTTGTTTTCACATTATTAGAATACACTCTGCATAATATATTTTATGGGGGAAGTCTTTTTAGCATTTGTTTAATAAAATGTCTTTATCATTAGGTATAAAATTGAAAATCTTGAAGTCCTTAGAATTTAAGGCTCTTTACGAACAGTGCATTTTGGTGTTTAATTGCCCCCAAAAGGATGTCTTTATATGACCTTTTTTAAGAATGTTCGTATTTACTGAGAAATAATTGTGCTCAACTTAGAAACTTAAGGGTATTTATCTTTATGGATTCTTATCAGTTACTTCAAAATCTTAATCACAGTAAATCTGTGGTTTATTCTCTTTGAGCCAATTAGAATTCAAAATAGATCATTTGTTTTTTAAAGAGAAGTCATGATCACCTAATACTATTAAGCTACTTTTTTTAGAGACTTGAAAAACTGAAAGTATTAAAACATTTATCAACTTATGGTTTGTACATGTGATTTAAGTTACATTGGCCTTAAGAGAACACAATACTTATTAATAGACTTTTAAAAATCTAAATTGCCAAATAACTGACCTCCGTAAGTAAGATTTCATGGGAATTAAGGTTTTGATACAGGTAGAATTTCAATTTGCCAGAACTCAGACAGCAGTACCTTGCATGTTGAACATGATGGCTGATTTAGAGGTTGAACATGATGGTTATTTAGGCATGTCCATATGGGAAGCATGAGATTCAGGAGCGAGAGCTTAGAAACTTTGAATTACATAATTTAAAAATGGAGATCATCCAGATCCTGGGCAGGAAATGTACAAGATACGACTAGACCATCCTGTCATACCAGATGGCAAGGAAGCTATCAGAGATGATTGGAGTCATGTCAGGGACTGAAGAGCCAACTCGAGGACACTCTCACTAGCCGAAGCTGAGCCACTTCAGGCATCAGTGGTGACTGCATTGAGTAACACACCAAATATGTTTAAATCCATGAGTTTACAAAGATATAACAAAAGAAAAAAAAAAACCTAATTGTTCACCACTGAAATATGCTAATAAACTATTATACTATTATTTCTAAAGCTGGCAAGTAAAGGGAAAGAATTATCTCTCCTGACTTTTCTGTGTGAATAATACTGCTGGGAAATGAAATGATGGAAAAGGAGATGTTTCTCATTATAGATGTTGTCCAGCTGATGAAGCAATGAGGAAAGAATGATAGAATGTCACTATTTTCCAACCATTTTGAATTAATGAATGGGTATAACATCACAGGACGTTATGTGCCTCCTGAATGAAGAACACACGATCTGACAGAGTCAGACTGGGGGTGAGACCAATGAAACACTCACTCTGGGTCCAAACTGTAAAGGGACCCTTAATGTAATTATCTTAAGTGATCCTGCTATAACAAAGTATCAGACTGGGTGGCTTATAAACAACAGAAGTTTATTCTCACAGTTTTGTTAATACATGCTGGAGTCCGCGATCAGGGTGCCAGCATGATTGGGTTCTGGTGATGGCCCACTTCCCTGTTGCAGACTACTGAGTTCTCCTTGCGTCCTCACAGGGCAGAAAAAAAGAGAGTAGGAGAGCTCTCTGGGCTCCCTTTTATAAGGGCACTAATTCCATTCAGGAGGGCTCCACCCAAATGACCCTCCCCAAAGCCTCACTTCCTAATGCCATCACATTGGATGTTGGGATTTCAGCATGTAAATTAGGGGGACATAAACACTCAGTACATCACATCAAGATGAATAATATTTAATGCAGTATTTTTTAAAAATTAAAAAAGTATCAAAATGTGAAACAAGATCTTACAGTGCTCTGCTGAGCTATATTGAAGCCTTCAGCAAAAGGGTATATGTGTATGTACCCTGATCCCATGTTTATATTTTTTAATGGTTAATAGTTTTCATGAAAATATTAGTGGTGTACCTTCTTGAATTAAAGGAAAGTGAAATTACAGTAAATAGAAAAATCACATGTAAAAATAACAAACAACATATGAGTTATAATATACCTACTTTTCTGTTTTTCAAATTTTGTAAAATTAACATTCTGGGGGAAAAATAGCCATTATAAGATACCTAAAAACATGTATGCAGCATTGTGCATTTTTGCTTTTTCCTGAGGAGCAGTGTGGCTTGGCAGAGCAGTGATCTATGAAGTAAGTAGCTTCATCTCTTTCCCCCAAATCAAAATCAGATCCAAACCTCTAGATCTAATACAATTTCCAGGAAATATCAATGGCATAGGAATGTATTATATAACTACCACAAGGATGCACTCAACTAAATCTGGCTGTGAGAAACTCTAGGATAAACATTCATTTTTTTCCTACATTTAATTGCAAGGAAAGAGAGAGACAGAGAGAAAACCTCTAGATCAAAAGGAAGCTAGGGACATTTCAAACCAGTCACAGTGTGTGGGCCTTATTTAGATCCTCATCCTGACAAGCAAACAAAAAATTATGTTAAGGCTATTTGAAATTTGAATAGTGACTATGTATCTGATAATGTCAAGGAGTTGTTATATTTTAGGTATGATAATTTGTGGTTATGATTAAAGAAAGTCCTTATTTTAAAGAGATATACTAAAATATTTATCACTGCAATGATATAGTATCTGAGGATTTTTTTATCTGACAATACAGAGGGACAAATATGGGGTAGAAGTGAGACAGTATTAGGCATTAATTGTTAAAGAAATGGATTCATGGGGTCCATTATACTGTTATTTCTATATCTGTTAAAATTATTTGTAATAAAAAGTGTTAAGTATATGTATAAAACATGTCCTTCCCTCTCACCCAGAAATCCTGATTCTGGGATGGGGGCTTGGCATCAGAATCTTTTTAAGTCCCATAGATGATGTGATTGCATAGCCAAGACTGAAAATCACTGTTTTATGGGCCATTTAAATAAGTTAATATGATTGACCTCTATAGTCATAAGCACTCCATAAAATCTTAGTGATATCAAGCTTAATCTATTGATACATGTTATATTTATTTTCAGTCATGCTGCAAAGCTTATGAATATATGGGCTACATTATGGAAAAAGAGCAAGCATATATGGATGCTGCCTTAAACTATGAGATGGCATGGAAACATAGCAACCAGACAAATCCAGCAGTAGGTGAGTTTAAAATTTAAACACTAGGTTTTTACCAGAAACATGGGTTTTATGTGTAAACCTTCATTTAAATGAATTTGATTTTCTTGTTAAGGAGAAAATATACATTAACAGCCAACATCCTTTGTCATTCCTGAAAAATAAATTGTACATTCATAATAGATTATTAGCTACTAATTTATTACGTATAGTTTGCTGAGATTCAGACTCGACCTCGGTTGCCTTAGAGGACTTCTAATCTAATTCTGCCCCCTTTTCTCCCTTCACCCTCTAATTGAAAAATGTAATACTGTGGGAGAAAGTGTTCATTGTGAAAGAAGTGAGAAAAACATTGCATTAAATCAAGTTCTGCTGGTTGCTTTACTGCAGAATTTCTCAGAGACTCTAAGCCCTAGTATGCATTGTGGGGGATATCACGCAGAGAACACGTTTCCCACGAGAAGTTGACTATGGAACTTTTTTTTTCCCCTGAGCATCTGGAAACATCCTGTCCCGGTGGTAGACTATTGGTTTGAGGAAGGCTGGTCGCCAACATCCCTAACAGATGGGCGGCACCTGGAATATATTGACCACTGACACCCACGTTGTGAGGGAGCTCACCCCCCGACTTCTCTTTCTTTGTGTAGAGCTGAAAGTAGCTTCACTGACACTGCCCTGTCTGTTCTCTGGAGCAGCCCGCAGAGTTCTTCCCCGCTTAAACATAATGGCCCTCGAACTGCAAACTCCATCATGTCTGTCCTGTTTCTCGCCAGACCGTTCTCAGGCGCTTCTTCATTCTTCCCAAGACTTGCTTTCAAGTCTTTCGCCCTCCTGTTGTCTCCTGGAAACTCTCAAATAGTATTTCCCAAACTTGCTTTGGAATGCTGGGTGAGATATTGATACTCACTTCTTTTAAAAAGAGAGTTGACCGTGAAGAGATTAGATTTCATGGCCAAATAAGTTTGGAAAAGGCTGTTATATTTGTCCATGTCCCTCCTGATCTGTTGTACTAGAAATGAAAAAGTTGTTAAGTGTGATTTAAGAACGATTTGTATGTATAATGAAGCTTTTTTTTTTTAATGAGGCATTGAATAGTTGATAATTCAACTCAAGATGACATCTGTCTTTTTAGCATCTGTGTCACGGTAATGACTCAGAGTTAATCTAGAGTCAGATAGGTCATCTTTAAACTTACTGCTGTCGGTCTAGGACTTCCCCTATCGTTTATTTTTCTCAGGTCTGTTATTTTACTAGACTTGTTCGGAACACAGAAACTAATTTGTAGATAGTATTTTTCCTTCTCAGGTTTTGTTCATGTTACAGAATAAAGTCAGCTTGTAATATGAAAATTCCTTAAAATCCTTAAAATATATGTTAATTCCAATGCTTTATTCCCCAGAAGGAATGCAATTAGAAGTTTAGTTATTTAAATATTCTGTTCCTTCAAAGACCAGCAAATAGATTCCAGGTCACTCGTTCTTTCATTGTGTTCTCTTTGAACTTTATAGGTGATTTTATCAGTTCCTCTGACCTCTCTTTTAACAGACTTTTCTCTGAGGCTCTCAATTAATTCTTACAGTTTGTTTTTTTTAAGATTATCATTGCATCCAGTACTCCCAGCCTTTCTGGCCAAGTTCATGATGCATTTTTTTTCATTTGTCAGGAAATCCTAAAAATCATAGCTGTGTTCTTTTCATAGAATTCAAGCTTGAGCGCTGTCACTGTGAAAGACCCCAGGAACCGAGGCCCACTGCGAGGAGAACACAGCCGTGTTTCTCTCTTCACAGTCGTTCCCGGGTTACGTGACAGTCACTGGGCTGTTTACACTGTTTGTGCTTTTGTTTTCTTGCTTTCACGAGCTCAGGGTCTCTCCCCCCATTTTTTTTTCCTGATTACACAGAGTTGAATTCTTAGAAGCCTGACAGGTGTAATGAAACTGTGGTACACATGTTCTTTGCCATGTGTAGCTCTTCATTTCCTCTCTAAAGTTCTTTTTTGCAGGAAATGATCTGTCGAGTTTGTTTCAATATGACAACTTTCTGCTTCTACTTTAGTGTTTACACAGTTAAAAAAAAAATTAGTATTTGTGTGGTACTCTGAAATTTTTTAAAGCATTTCACAAGTATTTCATTTGATCTTTAAATTTACATTAAGAGATTAGCAGGGTTATTTTTCCCATTTTTGGATGCAGAAACTTGAAATTGACAGCTAACGGTGACTTGCCTAAGGTCTCAAAGTTAGGCAGGAAACCAGAAGCCAAAAGTTATGTCCAGGCTTTTTTGGTACTAGTTTCCATATTTGACATGACATGTTTACGTTTTTTTTCTTTTTAAATGTCACAAACTATTGTTTTATAATTCCTTTCCTATGATATCAAGTTTATCTCTCTGATACTGTGTTCATCTTGAACATTTCTAATTGTGTATGTGTTTGTGTGTGTGTGAATTGAACACTATGAATTTTAGATAATTTCTATTCCTTCCTTCTTGCTACCATGATTGCATTAGTCAATAATTCTTTTAAAACATTGTTTTGAAATTCTAAAAATTTTCTTCAAGGGTCCTTTGATTAAAGTCCAAGAGCAGCATTCAAATTTCCTTTTCATATTTTTAAGTGTTAAAGCAAAATATATTATTTATTAGTTACATATCATTTTTCATTGTGTTATATCTTATTTATTGAATCTACTTTTTCATCTCCTTAGTTTGCTTATTACTAAAGAAACTAAGGAGATGAAATTGGCATTCTTATTACAGAACAACAGTTATTAAGGAACATATTAAAACTTTCTTCAAAAATGTCGGTATTTGGACTTCCCGGTGGTCCAACTGTTTAAGAATCTGCCTGCCAATGCAGGGGACATGGGTTCCATCCCTGGTCTGGAGATATCCCACCTGCTGCAGGGCAACGAAGCCCATGCAGCAACTTCTGAGGCCGCGCACCTAGAACCTGTACTCCACAACAGGAGAAACCACCGCAGTGAGAAGCCCACACACCGCAACTGAAGAGCAGCTCCTGCTCATCACACTGAGGGAAAGCCCACTCGTTGCAGTTACTAGAGAAAGCATGTGCCCAGTAAGACCCAGTACGGCCGAAAAGAAATAACTAAAAATTTTAAATAAATAAATAACCCTTGCAATGTGCCATTTCAACATCACATGTGGCTGACGTGGCCGTCTAATGACTAATCCTCTGCCTCTGAGTCAGCCCCCTGCTGCTCCTCCAGCGCTCCGGGTCCATTTGGCTGCTGCGTCTCCCTCTGCCACTGGCCCTTCTGTGTGCAGTTCTCTTTCCCTAACAGAATCCTCTCTTCCCACCTCTTTGGCCTACATTATGCCTCTTCCTTCAGGTTTCACACATTGCCTGACACCCACCCCAGATTTCTTATTACAGTGCTCTTGGCCTGTGCCTTTATTTCATAGCATTTATCTCAGTTCTGGAATCATTCACGTACTTCCATAATTACTTAAATAACTTACGTTCTTTCCTAACAGAATGTAAACCTCAGGCACCAGTTTGCCTGATGTGTTAAGCAGATCAGTACTGTATAAAGGAATAGCTGTGTTATCACTTACTGCTCTATGATCAGTTTTTACTGTAATCTGAAACAAATGGGGATTTTCTAAGTAAGTTGCAAAACCATATTTGTGGGATGGCTGGCCATCTTCTAGCCCAACGGTGGTGCCTTGTTCCAACTCCATTTTCTTTGGTACCTGTTCTCCTTTTATATCACTCCACCTTCTGTTACCTTACTGTTTCTATCATAGTACAGTCATCACCCTCCACTAAGAGTTCTCTAATATTAGCATAAGCAAACAAAGGAGGAAGCCATGAAAGGTAATACTAACAGTGTGCTCTATAAATAAGTAATACTATATCATTGCTGGGGGTTTTGTCTTTACAGGATACAAACTGGCATTTAATTACTTAAAAGCGAAAAGATATGTGGATGCAATTGACATATGTCACCAGGTAACACTTAAATTTATATTTCTTAAAATTTTTCACATGTGCTATTTCCTACTTTTGTTTAATATCAAGTTGTATATGAATAGAGATAGAGGATGTACTATTTTGGTTCAGTGCCTCTTCGGATACATCTGGAAGAAATTACCGGTTTTCAAAGTTTAGAAAGTAAAGTTTACTTAAATCAAAAACATGTTTTTAATTAGGACTCAAATAAGGTTTGTCAATTTAAAGGAGGCTAGAGGAGAAGCATGTTAAACAAACTTAATCCTTAATTCAGAAAATATCTGAAGATTATTATAGATTCTCCAGGTCATTGTTCTGAATAGAAGTTCTTATGTTTGTGTCCAAGTCTGGTTATTAGAGGATTCAGATTTATAAATTAAAGAGGTATTTTTGTCATTTAGCAGCCATACAGTTCCACTTCTGTCATTGATTTCTGGGCTCCCCTGATGTCTCAGACAGTAAAGACTCTGCCTGCAACGCAGGAGACCGGAGTTCGATCCCTGAGTTGCGAAGATCCGCTGGAGAAGGGAATGACTACCCACTCCAATTTTATTGCTTGGAGAATTCTATGGACAGAGGAACCTGGCAGGCTATAGTCCATGGGTTGCAAAGTAGCAGACATGACTGAGCGACTGACAATTGATTTCTGACTAAATGATCCTTGCTAAATGACAAATTTTTGAGTTGCAGTTTTAGAATTTGCAATTTCTTTATATATACATTATCCCATTGATATTCATACAAGGCATTGTACTAAATATTGTTGGGAGCTCCAAGAAAAGCACCTTAGTAGAGAATTATGTAGTGTACCTTATCCCAGATAACTGTGTCAGCATCATTGTAGTGAATACTTGGCTCCAGTGATTGCTATTGATTACTGAGTCTCTGTGTAAGGCAACATTTCACATTAAGGTTAAGGTTATATATTAGAGTAATTTGTGGAGTTTTGATTTTTCTCTCTTTATGACTATCACCCTACTCTTCAACTCAGTAGACCTGGAAATTTGTATGTTTTGAAATCATTCCAGGTAAATCTGATGTGTACTCCTGGGTAAACATATCTCTAAGGATTTGTTAAATATCATGTATAAATAGCTAAATTTTTAAAAGTATCTTAAATCATTGATAATTGTTTTCTATAACTGATCTATTAAGGAAATAATTATATCTTGTATTTTCCACATGTAGTGGTACATTTTTACCATTTTCATCTAACTGCTGTTAATAGAAATAGGTCATCATGTCACATCTCGGATGTCACCTTTAAAAAGTGCTGTTGTATTTGCATTATTATTATAATGTAATCTCAACTGTAATGCCATTGCTAGTAAGTTTTGTGGCTCCCCAGTTCTTGATAACGAATTATAAGTTTTTGTTTTATTTTTTGTGTGTTTGCAGGTTCTTGAAGCACATCCAACTTACCCCAAAATCAGAAAGGATATACTTGATAAGGCTCGCACATCTTTAAGACCTTGAAAATTATTTTAACTTTTCAAAGCAAGAAATGGAAAGAATCTGAGTTCTTCCAGTACAAAATAGGTTTAAGCTAATACCTGGTATTAGAAAGCATACTTTCTCCAGCAGAGGCTGCTGTTGCATTTAAAGAGAAACACTGTGCTAAATGGATGTCTTCCGATGGAGAAAGTGAATGAGAGCTGGTTTATTTAATTGACTCTCTTGATTTAGGTGCAGATTTGGTGTTTCTATGGTAAAGATTATATAACCCATTTCTACAAAGAATATTTTGTTAAAATCTAGATAGCTAAGTATCCTATATCTTTTCTAAGTGATATTGTTTCTTTCAGGAAATATGTTTAAAATACTGTTGGTCTCTGTTAAACATTTTTTGTGATATTATGTTATTTCAAAGGTTTGAGTAAGTGTCCATGTGAATATTTATAAAAAAGAAAACATATTTTTAATAAACATTTTATGAAATTTATGAACTCAAAACACATGGTGAGTTTTGCAAATTCAGGGTAAACTACCCATGTCAACGCATAGTATTACAGAAACTGACTTTCTTAGAAGAATCTTTTGGAAAAGTATAAAGAGTGTTTGTGAGTTCCCCTTCTTTGTTGAATTGATTCTTCTTGCTTTTAATGCCAGTGAGGTTCTTTTAAGAAATAACCAGTACCTGAAATTAAATATGTAGACCTTTATAACAATATTTAACCTTAGCCCAAAGACAGGGTCTTTTGGTGTAACTTTAGACACTGTGACACCTGGTAGAGAAGATTTTCAGTCAGCAGGGACTCATGAAGCACACCATGTAAAAAGCAACCGCATACCCCACTATCCCTAGCATTCCTGCCACCAACCTGGGAGAGGTACTTACACTTTACACTGAATTGAAGTTAACCTTCCCAGATGGCGCTAGTGGTAGAGAACCTGTCTGCCAGTGCAGGAGACTCAAGAGATGCGAGTTCGATCTCTGGGTCGGGAAGATCCCCTGGAGAAGAGATTGGCAACCCACTCCAGTATTCTAGCCTAGAGAAGCCCATGGACAGAGGAGCCTGGTGGGCTACAGTCCGTGGGGTCACACAGCTGAGCATCTGAGCACAGCAGCACAACATAAACCTGATCCTCATAAAGTCAATTCTTAGCATCATTTTTAGTGTATCTACATCTTTTTTCAGTTGCTTTAAAAATACAATAAACACAGTCTTCCATTTTAACTGCATTTTCAATTAACAGTTTTTAAAAGTCACTTCCTTTTCCTAAAGTACTTCAGGTTTATTTCTTTTGAGTTACATTCTTATTTCAAATCACTTCTCCAATTTTCCAGAGTCCTCTTAATTCTGTGTTATAAGATTTCTGGTCATTTTTAGTTATGGTGTTTCATGGAAATGTTTCATAATTAGAGCATTTATGAAATATTTCATGTCTGTTAAAACACATCTTATTACATTTTGTCCTCACAGTCCTATGATACAGATATCATTATCACTCTTCTACAAATCTGGCACTGTGACACATTATCTTTCTCTGTAATTTAGGGGGAAACTTTCAACCTGAATGGACATTGTTAAGGACATAATACAACAGAATAACCTTAGCAGGTCCAGTGAGCCTGCATTGTAAAATGCTAGAAACATGGAAATTGGATTGGAGAAAGAAGAACATCTGTTCTCCCAGCAAGACATTTCCAAATCCGTTTTCCTATCTATAAAATGAGGAGTTTGTTTTTGTTTCTTAAGCAGCCACTTACTGTGCCATTTGTTAGATACTATCCTGGGAACTTTCTTTAAAGTATGCCTTTTATTTCTCAATCAACTCTCTAGAGAAATAATATTTTTCAGATAATGATATGAAGGCTCAATCTAAAATTTGCCCAAGCTCACAGAAAAATTATCAGAAGCTGGATTTTGCACCAGCCTTTCCTAAATTGAGATGCTTTCCATAACTGAGAGAGACTGTGTCTGTAAGAAACATTCTCTTATCTGCATCTGGCTAGCAGATGAAAGTGAGTGTTCTATCCCAGAGATGGCTAGGTAATGAGGAACAAGAAGTGAGTGGAATGAATGTCCTTACAGATGTGGAAACTACTAAAGAGAAGCCTAAGCCAGGAGCAGTATAGTGCAGTGGTGAGGAATGTGGACCTGAAGTCAGACCGTCCTAGGTTTAAAGTTTGACTCTGCTACTTACTAGATGGTTCACCTTTCTCAATGTTCATAGTCTCTGTGAGCCTCGGTTTTCTCATCCATTAAAGAAGCATATCGGGATAATAACCTTCCTCGGATTGTCGTTAAGAATTAAATGAGAGAACTTACATAAAACCTATAGTGAATCTTACTCAGGCTCTTAATAAATAACAGCTCTATTACTACAAACTGTGAACAGGGTCAAGCAGTAGTTGCACCTGAGAAGAACCTTCACAGGAGAAAAGAGACAAGAAGGACAAGGGTGAGACCGACAGGACCAGTCGAGCCGCTCAGAAGCACAGGCCCACAGGAGCCAGGAATTCTCACGCATGGTCTCCCCTTCCCTTCTCGCCTGTTTCTCTCTCACACTTCCACCCCCAACCGGAAATTATGTTGCACTCTACATGTATAAATCTCAGTTCATCTAATTTTTGAGCAGGCTTACCCTTCCCTCCTCTACTGGAATTCTGTCCCTGCTCTCCCCTCCCTAATCCCCAGCTCACGGTCTCCAAGCTTCCCTGTCTAGGCTTACTCTCCCTTTCACTCAGTTATCAGTTCATTAATTGCCTGCTCAGAGGTCCTGTCCATGTCCACTGACACTCTATAAAAGTAGCCATCATGTCAGCCTGTACTCTGTCACCGTATTTAAACCCTCTATTTAGCACTTGCTAATTTCTGATGCTTTTCTTGTTCACATGCCCAAGATCACACATCCAGGAAAGCTGGAACTCCAACTGAATTGCTACTTGAAGGGATCAGTTCCCATAGCATGTTCAGTGAGAGTTTAGGGTCCACACGTAAGATAGAGAAGGAGGGACACAACACGAATGAAAGAATTTTCTGTGAATCTGGGGTTTGAATACCACCACCCTCATAATAAGGAAGCAGGTGTAAGTTCGATGTCCTTTGACCTCAGGTCAACTAGTATGAAGAACTGGATCCCAAAAGGAAATAGCTTTCTTTTCCAGAAATCAAGAACCTAGAGCAATTCTGGAAAGAAGGGTTTTATGCATGGACAGCTGAGGAAGCTAGGTTAAACTTTGCACTAGGGTAGATAATAGAATCACTATGGAAACCAAAAGACCAGTTAAAACTGAGAGAAACTCTCCTAGTTTGGGTCTGGTGATAAGTGAAGAGCCTTTTAACAGGATCATGTAACCTGTGCTAGTGCTGATAAAGTAAAAAATGCTATTTTTTTTTTTTTTTAGTGAAAGATTGGCAACAGTGCAAGAAGAACAGGACATTCATCCTCTGTTGGTAGGAGTGTCCTACACCCTTTCTGAAGGGCAATTTGGCAGTATGAATTAAGATTTCATCCTTTGACCAGGAAATCTCACTTAGAGAAATTCATCATAAGAGACAGAAATTTTCTCAAGGTTTTTTGGTTTAAAAACTGGTAAAAGCAAAAAGTTTAGGTTTTATGCTTATTGTCAAAACATTCAACGTAAGTGAAGTGGTTGAATATATTAGTTTACCTGATAATGGAGTACTGTGTGGTCATCAAAAGCCATTTTCCAAAGTTGCTTTTTTTTTTTTTACTATTCATGTTTTAAAACTTTTTTCAAAGGTTTTTAACTGCTGGGTGTCTTACAAAATAATAAGTGAAAATTCAGGAACCATAACTTCATATAAAGTTAATTTGCTTAATAAGTAGATGTATAGTGAAGTGAAAGTCACTCAGTCGTGTCCAACTCTTTGCAACTCTATGGACTGGAATTCAGAATACCAGAGTGGGTGGCTGTTCCCTTCTCCAGGGGATCTTCCCGACCCAGGAATCAAACTAGGGTCTCCTGCATTGCAGGCAGATTCTTTACCAGCTGAGCTACCAGGGAAGGCCAAATAGATATATACGTAGATATATATGTGTATACATAGACAACACACAACTAATGAAACTAATGCAATTTTTAATGGTAGTTATATCTTCATGATGAAATAGTGATGAGAAATGTGCCATTTTTGAAGTTAACTGCAATGAACACATACCCACCTCCCGCCAAAAAGGATTTTTTTTCCTATTAAAAAAAGAATAGCTTTCTCAAAGATTAATAGAAAAAAAACTAAACAAAAACTGACACTGACATTCTTTCAACTCTTAACGCCCACACTTTACTACTAATGGTTTGAACAAAATGTAATCTGGTTTATTTCAGTTGTCAAAGAAGCTTCAAGACGTAGAAGTTAGAAAAATACTCTGCCAGAAAATGAAAGTAGGAGAGTGCTGATAGCAGCAATGATAACAGGAGAGCCCAGGAGTTATTAAGGGAGATGTGAGTACCCCGTCAAAATAAGTGAAGAGCACACTCCTGCACCAACAGGGGAAAATAAATGAGAGGGCTTCCCTGGTGGCTCAGTGGTAAAGAATCTGCCTGCCAATGCAGGAGACACAGGTTTGATCCCTGATCCAGGAAGATTCCACGTGCCTTGGAGCAACAAAGCCTGTGCCCTACAACTATTGAGTCTGTGCTCTAGATCCCGGGAACTGCAACTACTGACCACGAGCCGCAGCTACTGAGTCTGTGTGCCTAGAACCTGTGCTCTGCAACGAGAGAAGCCACTGCAATGAGAAGCCTGCACCCTGCAACCAGAGAGTAGTCCCCACTTGCCACAACCCGAGAGAAATGCGTGCAGCAACGCAGACCCAGCGCAGCCAAAACTAAATACTGGGAAAAAAACCAACAAAACAGCAAAACCCACTTTCTGCACTTCCCATGATTCTAGTAACAGTTTTAATGATGATCCTACCAAACGTAATTAGTATGAAGTCAGAGGAAATAAGCGAAGTCATACACGGACACAATGGTTGTGTGGTGTGAGACCTGGGCAGGGTGA